GAACCCCCCCAGCTCCCCCAGCCGCTCCCCAGCAGCCTGGGGCTCCAGACCCCTCCCCAGCTCCGCTGCCCTTCTCTGGACCTGTTCCAGCAATGCAACATCATAGCGCAACCCACCACACTGGAGTAACGTAGGCTAGGATGTGAAGTTAATTTCTGTGTTTCCCCTTCCAGGGTGTGGACGTCATCCGAGCGTATATCCCTGACGCTGTCTGGTACGATTATGATTCGGTAAGTATCATCATGGGGCGGGGGTTGCTAAATGTCCACGCGAGGAGGTCACAGAGCTGGAGGTGGAGTTGAGGATTTAGGAGGACAGGGCTGAAGGAAGCGCTAAGCGAAGGGCGAGTGTATCTTTAAGAAAAATATAATATCACTAATACGGAGTGAAGGGGGTTGCCATTCCCAGAATCCCAGACTGACGGGGGTTGGAAGGGACCTCCAGAGATCACCCAGCCCAACCCCCCTGCTCAAGCAGGCTCACCCAGACCAGGGGGCACAGGACAGCATCCAGGCGGGGGTTGAGTATCTCCAGAGAAGGAGACTCCACAGCCCCCCTGGGCAGCCTGGGCCAGGGCTCCATCACCCTCCCAGGCAAGAAGTTCTTCCTCATGTTCAACTGGAACCTCTTCTGCTTCAGTTTGTGCCCATTGCCCCTTGTCCTGGCACTGGGCACCACTGCAAAGAGTCTGGCTCTGTCCTCGTGACCCCCACCCTTGAGATATTTGTACGTGGTGATGAGATCCCCTCTCAGCCTTCTCTTCTCCAGGCTGAACAAGCTCAGCTCCCTCAGCCTTTCCTCACAGGGGAGATGCCCCAGGCCCCCCATCATCCATGTTTCTCTCCTCTGGACTCTCTCTAGGAGTTCCTCATCTTTCTTGAACTGGGGAGCCCAGAACTGGACGCAGAGCTCCAGGTGGGGTCTCCCCAGGGCAGAGCAGAGGGGGAGAAGAACCTCCCTCGCCCTGCTGGCCACACCCCTCTTGATACACCCCAGGATGCCATTGGCCTTCTTGGCCACCAGGGCACCCTGCTGGCTCATGGCCACCTTGTCACTCACCAACACCCCCAC